CATAGCGTGCACAACTAAGATTGTGCGGAAACATGGCCCCATACAATGATTGCGAATCATTCGGTTCCCTCTGGTTCTTTAGTGTTAAAAAATCAAATTTGGAAATTGAAAGTTATTCCAAAAATTAAACACTTTCTGTGGCGAATTCTTACAAAAGCTTTACCTACCATTACTCGTCTTAATTCTCGTGGAATGAATTTGGATCCTATTTTTCCGAGATGTTTCCGAGCTGATGAGACTATTGAACATATTTTTTTCCAATGCCCTACTGCCATTACAATTTGGGAATGTTCGCATATTCCTAGTCATGTTCAGTTTTGCTCATCTTCAACCTTTGAATTTGTTCTTGAACAAATATTTTCTATGCAATCTGATAACAATATCCCTCAAGCGACCAAATTACTTCCATTTTGGGTTCTTTGGCATATTTGGAAAACCAGGAATAATTTTATCTTTAACGGCATTCAAGATAGACCGATAAACTCTGTCTTACGTGCACAAGGGGACGTCCGTGAATGGTTAACTTACAGTCATAATACTTCTCACAATCATCAAGTCACTCAACCTATTCAACAAAGTTCATGGACTCGTCCTCCGACTAACATGATTAAGTGTAATTATGATGCGGCTTTTGATTATAATACACACCAAGTTAAAGGTGGTTGGATTCTTCGCGACGAAAATGGAGGCTCGAACGGATGGGGAAGTTCTGTTCTCGGCTATGCGATTTCCCCTTTGGAAGCAGAAGCGAAAGCTCTTTTGGCGGCAATGCAACAAAGTTGGATTAGAGGCATCACGAAGATTTGTTTTGAAGGCGATAGTGAAGTTTTGAATAAGATTCTAAATCATCAATTCTATGATATTGCTATTGATCGGGTGCAACATGATATCTCAATGTGGGCTTCTTTATTTCATACTATTCAATTTGTATTTACTCGTAGATCTTGTAATAATGCTGCTCACTTGTTGGCAAAGTATGGTTGTTCTTCTGTTAGTTTTTACTCTGATTCGTTTCATTCGCCTCAATGGCTAACTGACCAGTTGTATTATGATTTCATTCATTCATTAATATAATTTACATTTTGACGAAAAAAAAAAAAGATGATAAATTGTAAATCTTATGAAAAATGATACTAACAATTAAATAATTGGTTTAATTATATGAAAATTGTAAATCACAAAAAATAATAAATTTTTAATATGTTTTCGTAATATATGTGGAAAATCTAGAAAATAAAAAATTAGGAACAATTGAGTATGTATTTATCTAGTAAAATAGAAAGTAAAAACTAAGAAGATAAAATTTAGATGAACTGATTGATTCTCGTTATGGGATATAGGATATATAAAAGAGAATTGCTTCAGCTTCTCTAACTCCAAATTTTGATATCTATGATTGAAGGAAAGTAATATTAATAAGGACGATGGTATTTTTATCATCATGGCTGCCGCTGGAAGTGTTTGCAGTGGCAGGTCCATTGGTTGTTATCTTACTTGGCTGCATCTCAGCTATCATCTTTCACATTTGGAAAAAGTTATTAAAGTGTATCCAACCTGCTACTACGGAATCAGTACCAGACGTTGAGACCGGACATCTAACGCCGTCTGAGTCTGAACTAAAGATCTTCAAAACCGGATATACGAGTCGGATCAAGGGAATGGAGTCTAAAGAAGAAGAAGAAGGGTTTGGTGGTGATGAGATTTGTTGTTGTTCAATCTGTCTTGAAGAGTTTGAAGATGGCCATGAGATTGTCAGTATAAACAAGTGTCGACATGTTTTTCATCGTTTGTGTATTGATTCATGGCTGAAACAGGATCAAAGCTGCCCTAATTGTCGATGTTTTTTACTAGATTTTATTTATACATGATTTTGATCCCCATTAGTTTTAATTTATTTCATAAACTTTTTTAATATTTAACAAAATGATTGAATCAATTATATGGATTTACTTGGATGATTTCAAATCTTAAAAGGAAGATTTGTTGTTCTTGAATAGATTTAAGCAGTTTCAAGATTTCTGAGTCTTGCTTGACAAGTAAACTTCTTGAAGTTGTTTATGCTTATGCTGACACAATTTTGCAAGAAAATCACCAAAAAGTCCTTAGAGCACCTTCATATGCAAAACGTTTGTGTAATGTGTTTTTAATCTAAACTGTGTTTTAAATACAGTAGCAAGTAAAAGATGATGGAGAAAAGAAAAAAAGCTTCATGAAAAATAATTACCGAATGAATAATAACCGGTCTAAACCGGTAAGACCCACTTATTTGAAATCGAAAAGACTAACAATTCGGTTCGGTCTAATAATGTACACAAACGTTCCGGTCCGATAAATTAAACAAGGTGAAGAAGCGCACAAAGGGGAGAAATAGATTTCACAGTTCAGTTATAAGCATAAATCATTTCATGATCATATACATAAAACAAGTCCCCCTCTTAAAAGCCTGTTCAAGGATCTGGTTTGCCTGCAATTGCAACATCATCATCATCATCATCATCATCATCATCTTCATCATGTGAGCCGTATTCCTCTTCACTTAGTTCTTCATCACTAGACTTGTCTTCTGAACCTTCCCCTGGTTTTGCATACTTCTCACAGTATTCTGAAACCGCAAAGCCCAACAAAAGATGAGCATAATAACCCATCAAACTTCCTTAAAATGTACCCTAAAACTCTCAACCACGAGTTCACGACATTTTCGAGATTCTGTAAATGCCTAACCATATCTTTACAATGATATGTCTTTTGTTAAATGTTCCTAAGCTTTAAAATGATCAGACACTTAATCTTCATCACGAGATTCTAATGACTACATCAACTTAAAGGTTTAAGACGTATAATCACTTGTAGATTATTACATTAGCTCCACGAGTTACGAAAATTGAGTTCACACATAAACTAAACAAAAGCTATACTTCATTAGAACAAAGAAACACACATGAATAAGAATTATTCATAAGTATGGTAATATCAAGAATGCACACATTAAGAAAAGGTTCAAGATACTAAAACAATTCTCAGTATACCTCACATCCAGGAAATGGAAAATAACTTTCACCAAACTAACCAGATTTTTCAGAATCTTGACATATCTCTTAACACACGAGAATCTGATTTAGACCTACCTTTAACTCGCTGTTCATAAGCAGGACGATCACGCATCATCAATGCAGCAGCTTCTCCATTCAATGGATCTGATGGGTTTGGATATAACAGAAGCTGAGGAAGAAATGTCTCGAACACATTCACAAGGTCTGAATCAAAAAAGAAAAGAACCCAAAACATAAAGTTAAATCAAATATTCAAACAACAACAGTCATTTGGTTTTAAAATCAACCACATTTGATTTGGCCCTTACCGAACATAGGACTCCACGTTTGGTTAATCACATCTAAACAAACAGAACCTGACCTGCCATAACAAAAGAAGACACCAAAGATAAAGATACAGAAGATAGATACTAAAGTTTCCAATAAACTTTATGCAATAACATCTAGTTATTTAAAGGAACTCACAGTTCATCAACATTAGGGTGATAAATTTTAGTAATGAAACCAACAGATGGAGATTTGTAAGGATAAGCATCTGGAAGCTCAACTCTTATCTTCCACACACCTCCTTGATAGAGACCTATCAACAAACACATCATTAACACCCACAAATAAGAGCATTTCTTTACAATTAACAACACACAAACTACGCTGAAGCGCCTAACTAATCCCGGAGTGAGCAAACTCTCGGAGTTTCTCATAAGCCCACCATGAGTTGAGTACTCATACCATAGCAAAAGTGACCAAGTAAAGTAACCAACACACACTGTGTAAACACTGTGGAATCGAACCAGGGCTGTAGCAAGTTGACGCCTTAGATCCGAATCCACCGAGCAACCACTCAAAAAGTTTACAGAGATATGAACAAAAACTCATGAAACCATCAAAAACCCCATTTGATAAGTAAGCAAAATCATCAGAAGCAGAAAAAACTAAAAGCACACAGAGACACACCAGAGTCTGATACAAAAGACAACAATCAAACGAAACTGGGGACTATTCTCAGACACGAACAAAATCAAACTGATGTTATGTATATATCAATCTTACTGTCTTTGGGTCCATTGAATTCAACATAGAACTCTTGCATGCCATCGTTGATCGTCTCCACTTTATAATCGCTCATCATCCTATCAAACAACAAAGATCAAATCAAATCAATCCAAACCCAAACCATCGAGAAAACTCACAAATCAATTACAAGATTAAGAAGAAACCGACATAAACAAAAATGAACATCAAAATTGAAAGGACAAAAAAAAAAAAAAGTGATTACAGTTTCATCATGTCCATTTCTCTGCGTTTGCTTGGAGAAGACATTTTTTTTTTCCTTCTCTAAATTTTCTGGGTTTTTTTTATCTTCTTCTTCTTCTTCCGGATTCGAGTGAGAGAGAGAGATGGAAGAAGAAAAAATGTGTGTGAGAAAAAAGGAAAGATTTTTGTTTTATTTCTTTATTATTTGTATTCTTCTTTTTCCTTTCACGTACATCGATGATAGAGTAAATCGTAAAGACCGTATTTACAAGTATTAATACACAGTAAATTTCGTGATATTTTTTTTCTTTTTACTTTTCAAATTACTTTCTCCCTAAGTTTTTTTTTTTAATTACTTTCTACCAAAGTTTGTAACATTTTTTTTTGGGTTTAAATTCAGTAATTTTGGTTATGTATAATTATAGTCTAACAGTGAATAAATTACATTGAAGCGGTGTCACAGTAAACGTGTAAAGTAGACGCATTTTATGCCACGTTGAAGTTGTTCTTGTATCGACTAAACTTGTCCGATCACTATTTTTTATTACATGCATTTGTTAAGTGATTAATTGATAAAAAGTAAAAAAAAGAAATTGAAGGAAAAAGATAATTACAGGAAAATGTTAGGTACTATTTCCGAGATAATTCATTAAAATGAGCAACTCACTTGTGACAATTTTATTTATTACAAACAAATTTTTTCTAAAAGAAAGTGATACTACTACTGTAATCGACTAATAGGACATCTACACGTATTGGTGTCATTTACTAGATAAGTCTCATTGATTTGACTTACTGACGTAAGTAACGTGTACATTAAACAAGTGAGATCAATAAAATGTGATAAGAAATTAAGAAATCTAAATCATTACACACTAGGAACAATTTTCATATTACATAGTAGTATCAAAGACCAGTAAAAAGAGGATAAATCAGTACTAAACCAAATTACATCCCAATCCCAACCCTAATATTGACCAAAAGCATAATTATAAACTCAATTTTCATTTTCATTACTATTTTCTTAAACCTAAGAAAAAATAACTGAATCAGACTCGAATTGAAACCCCAGAATAAAACAAATTTTTTTTTCTTTTCATTTTTGTCTTTTTTTTTATTCACATAAGTGAATCTAAAACACAAGCTCTAATTCTTAGTCTCCTTTTGTAGACGACTTGAAAAAACGTCTGTACAAACAACATATGTAGTATATCAACACTGATACGTTTTGTAAATTCAACTCTTGCGAATCAACTATTAGTGTATTCTTACCAAACTTTTTTTCTTCCTTCTTTTAAGTTTTCTTCTCCTGTTCTCCCAGTTTTTTTGTTCGGATACAAAGAGCATCGAACCATCTAAGCTGTGGTACTTGCGGTTTGCTAGTCGAGAGGAGAGTCAAATATCATTTCCTGCAGAACAAACGGATTCTCTCAGACAAATCCCGGGAAGTAGATAGAATACGTAAACAAGTAGAATTGGAAGTACTCATAATGTTTACTAGAGAGACTAGAGTTTGCCGGCATAGGCCAAATAAGTGGATGAAAACTATATACCTTATTGCAGACAGGGCAGGTTTCACTTCTCTCCATCCATTCTAGAATGCATGCGAGGTGAAAATGGTGATCACATTTGGATAGAAGTTTAGGGTTCTCGAGATCATATTCTGAATCAAAAACATAGAAAATATAATAAACAAACCATTCCCAGTCATATAAGGTGGGTTAAGTTTATGTCTTTGAGATGTAGGGAAAAGCAAAAAACTTTTACCTTCCAAACATATGGGACAGTCCTCCTCTTCCTCTATTGGTACAAAGACAGCTTTTGATAGCTTGGGGTCTATATCTTCAGTAGATTCAAGATCAATCTCTGTTTGGATTTTGCAATCTATTTCTTTATGTGAGCATGTAGTTGGAACCCCAAGAGTAATACCATCGACTGTTTCTTGAGCAGGCTCGGTATTAGCAGGTTCCACTGAAACCTCTCTTATATCAACACAAGTAGCTTCTTCACCATTTCCTGGTGTATGAGGAATGCCAATAGCCACATCGAAAGGGATAGGCGGTGGAGGTGGTATATAAGCATCTGGAGACGATGTCTCTAAGTTTGTGTCTACTACTACTACACCAGTAGAGATAGCAGAGGAAGTCCTGTTATGAGCGGAAGACAAAGGCACGCGCTCTTCTGTTGCCCTCGGGTACTGCAAATACAAGTCAGGAAAAGGATGATTAACAATGGAAAAACAATTCAATCCCATATGATTCTCTAAGCTATATAAAAATGAGACACAGCAAGAATGACTGATTTGCAGAACAACGCAAAAAGTAAAAAAAGTTGTGGAATAAGGAAGTGGCAGAAGCATCACACTAACGTAGTAGTACGCAGGTCCATTATCTCCATCAGCTCTTCGTGACGAAGAGCAACAACAGCAACCTCCCATCTCTTCTTTATCTATTTCTGTTTTAATCAGAAACTACAAAAGCCGAAGACTCTTCATCTATGCTAACCTACAAGAAACGTGAAGAAACAAATTTACATTTTTGAATTCCATAAAAGAGTATCAGTGAGCATGCATCACACATATGCAGAAAACTGAAACAAGCTTTATCATTTTCGATATCAGTTGAAGCTGTCTATACACAAGACTGATTAGTAACAATAACTACAAGAGAAAGAGCAGAACAACACCAAAAACACAGCTACTCAACAGTCGAAATCTAGTCTTAATAATCAAAGATACAATAGCACCAAAATAAACCTCTTTGCAAAACCAATCAAAACTCGAAACAACAGTGTGGTGTTTGAGATTAAAGTCTAATGAGCGTCTCCTAAATCAGGGAGTAAGCAAAATTTCAACAATCTCTTATAAGCACCATCTTACATACACAACAAGAGTGAATTCTAAATACTACTAACGCCCAAAGCAACAAACACAATTCTACTCAGAATTCAACTCCAACACAAACAATAAATCCCAGAAAAAAAAAGAAAAAAAAAACCCAGAAGCTTCACAGAGAGCAAGCTAATCCGTAAAACCCTAAACCAAAAACTTATCAAAGCATCAATAAACATCAGAATTCTCAGAATCTAGCATAAACACAAACAGAACAAAAAAACAGTAAAAACCCAACAGACAAAATAAGCTCAAAAGAAAGCAAAAACCTAGTAAAGAAGAACGATCAGTAAGCAAGATCAAAACAAAAACACCGATCATCTTCTCGAGATTGAATCAGAGAAAAGAAGAATTGAAAATCTCAAAATCAAAAAGAGAATTTTACTTTTGTTTTTTCTTTCTCGGGACAAGCTCTTTTTTTTTTTTTTGTCTTCGTCCCTTCTCTCTCTTTCTCTCTCTGCTTCTGCGCTTTGCGGTGCTGTTTATCGTGCGCTCTATCAAAAACGACTTTACTAAGAAAAATACAAGACTCCTTCACACTCTATATATTATAATATTTACAACTTACTTGATTTTAAATTAATTTAATTATTACTTGGCAGTTATAAACCTTGTTATAAAAACGGTAAAATATCTTCTCTCCCCCCCACTGTAAATAAAAAACAAATAATCAGCACAAAACACTTTTTTGTAATTCAAAAACGAAACTTTACATAATTGAAATCGGCTGTAAGATTCTGTTTTGGAAATTTATCATTTTTTTCGTTACTATAAACATATTTATTATCATTTTTGTTTTTCCTTTTTTCCAATTACATAAAGTAATTAAGTTAAGTGATTTTAGTTATTAAAAAAACATATTAGTAAATAAACTGTTGAATAAAAAAGCCCAAGTAAAAGAGGCCTATTAAAGCCCATATAGGATCCGTTATTGCAGTCTTTATATATGAATCGAGTTTGTATATTCCTCCTTAACAATTTTTCCTTCTCCCGCATCAAACTAGTCATCGACTCGCCATAACGGAGTCCGAATTCGCCGGAGACGCTGCTTGGTTCGCCGATTAGCCTAACTTACACCGGAATTTTTTCACGGCAACGTTTTCTTCCCTCCTTCGTGTAATTTTAGCCATCTGAGAAATCGCGAATTGATAACAATCAAGGAAGAGGAATACCTAACAACATGGGGAATGGTAATAGTCTCGCCTCGATCTTACTGATGTTTGCTTAGTTGATCGGAGTTTCCGGCCAATAATGGTGAATTTTGATGTTTCAGGTGAAAGAGGAAGACCTAACAAGAAGATGAAGTACGGTGGAAAGGTTCGTGTTTTAGGTTTCTTCAGTTCAGTGCTAGTTAGAGTGTGTAATTGTGTAATGTGTGATCTTACTGTAAAAGTTTATCAGGATGATCAAAAGATGAAGGACATAGAAAACGTTGAAGATTACTATGATGATGCGGATGATCAGGATTCTCGTGATGGTAAAATTGATTTCTCTCTAGCGTAATTAACAATGGATATATTTGGGGAAAATGTTGAATTTAGAGTATTGTAATGGGGTTTGAAGGTGAAGGAGAGGAGAGGAAGAGGGATTTTACTAAATTGGTGTTGAAGCCAGATCATGGAAACAGGCCTTTGTGGGCTTGTGGTGATGGAAGGATTTTCTTGGAGACGTTTTCTCCTCTCTATAAACAAGCTTATGACTTTCTTATCGCCATTGCTGAACCCGTTTGCAGGTTTTGTTTTCGAATATATCAATCAACGTTTAGGGATGTCAATGTACAAGCTATGAATTTTGTTGTTGATTTTTTTCAGGCCAGAGTCAATGCACGAGTATAATCTAACCCCACACTCGTTGTATGCTGCTGTTTCCGTTGGTCTTGAGACAGAAACTATCATCTCTGTTTTGAATAAGCTGTCTAAGACTAAGCTACCAAAGGAGATGATTGATTTCATCCATGCTTCTACTGCCAACTATGGGAAAGTGAAGCTGGTACTGAAGAAGAATCGGTATTTTATCGAATCCCCATTCCCTGAGGTAAGTTCACCAGACTTGTCCTCTTTCTCTTCTCTTTTGTATTTGGATTTTGGTTTTATTTTTCCATTTCTTTTGATTAATTGTAAAAACGAAACTATCTCAGGTGTTAAAAAGGCTTCTTAGTGATGAGGATATAAACCGAGCTAGATTTTCTTCTGAGGTACGTTGAACTCCTCCATTTCGTGCATTATGCTCGCCTTTTGCGGTTTCTATATTTTAACTTTCAGTGAAATACATACCATTCATGATCAGTTGTTCTCAACCGTTTTTTGCTTCTTTTGTCACTAATGTGGCAGACTTATATATTTCATGTTTCCTTCTTCTTATACTTCTTGATTCAGTATGTGAAATTCATGGTTATTATACCATTGTCTGTTCTCCTCAGTATGTCAAACCAGCTTAGATTAACTTCTTTTTTTTTGCTAGCCATGTTATGGTGGTGATGAATTTACAATTGGAAAAACAAGCGGTGAAATTGAACCAGGACCTGGGGAGCTGTTGAGTGAAGCAGAACTGGCAGCAGCAGCAGAAGAGAAAGAAACTCACTCATTTGAGATAGACCCCTCGCAGGTAAATTTTCCCTAATGCAGCTGAGAAATGATGTGTAAACATTAATCGTGTTATGAGTTTGGTAATGTTCTGCAATATTTACTTAGCTCGTGGTGTGATGTTCTTTTGCTCTTGGTGTGTAGGTGGAGATTGTGAAGCAGCGTTGCTTACCAAATGCCTTGAATTACCCTATGTTAGAGGAATATGACTTCAGGAACGACAATGTGAGTAAGAAATTTTATACTTTAAGCAAATTTTTGCTTACCTAATAATATGCACACCAGGTTTGTGATTGTTAATAACTTGATGGCGTCTGTCAGGTTAATCCTGATCTTGACATGGAACTGAAACCCCATGCACAACCGAGGCCATACCAGGAAAAAAGTTTGAGCAAAATGTTTGGGAACGGTATAACTCTCTACGTCCAGAATTTTTTCTTTAGTAATCCGTTTATACGGCGACTGCTAAATGATATTGAACTTCTCTTAGATATTTAGATTTGTACTTTCATTCAGAAGTATCATTACAGTATCTCGTGAAAGTTTGTGACTGATCTAGAATCTTGATTCTGCAGGACGAGCAAGATCTGGGATTATAGTGTTGCCTTGTGGTGCTGGTAAATCTCTAGTTGGTGTTTCTGCAGCGGCTCGTATAAAGAAGAGTTGTCTTTGTTTGGCGACGAATGCTGTCTCGGTGGATCAATGGGCCTTCCAATTCAAGTTATGGTCTACTATAAGAGATGACCAAATATGTCGTTTCACTTCTGATAGTAAAGAACGATTCCGTGGAAATGCTTGTGTTGTTGTGACAACCTATAACATGGTTGCCTTTACTGGTAAACGATCAGCGGAAGCAGAGAAGATTATAGAAGAAATGAGAAACAGAGAGTGGGGGTTATTGCTCATGGACGAGGTAATCAAACAGTTCTTAATGTGACGTGTGACTTTAAATTGAATTTAGTGTTTGCGGGTAGTTACTTTTTGGAATGGTCATATGTGGTTCGTTGAGAAGGTGAATCCTGTGTTAGTTCTATCTACATATAATGAGTTTCCATTGAATGTGTGACATTATTTTTTTAATAGGTGCATGTGGTTCCGGCCCATATGTTTAGGAAAGTTATAAGCATCACAAAATCTCACTGCAAGCTAGGACTTACGGGTAATTAAATATTGAAATCGTTCATTTTCACATACCTTTTCATGTGTTATACTTCAGTTGCAGAAGCTAAGTCTCAGTTTTGGTCTTTTGTTCAGCCACCCTTGTGAGAGAAGACGAAAGGATTACAGATTTGAACTTTCTCATTGGCCCGAAACTATATGAAGCCAATTGGCTAGATTTAGTTAAAGGAGGCTTTATTGCAAATGTTCAGTGTGCTGAAGTATGGTGTCCTATGACCAAGGAGTTTTTTGCAGAATATCTGAAGAAAGAGAACTCCAAAAAAAATCAGGTTCATGAATATAATCTATTTTTGCAGTGTTCTTCGTTTTCTTCAGAAATTTTCTGAAAACCTGAGATTGTTAGATATCTGGTCTTTAGGTTTGGTTCATTTGATCTCCATGAATTTTATCTAGTCTGGAACCTTCAAATATGGTAAACATCAATATATTAGGTTCTTTGTGGCAAATACTCTAATAGACCATCCTGTAATTTTCTATGAAATTGGAGCTAGGAAGCGGGAAGCCTCTTCAACTGTTCTGACCTTTACATATCTTGTCTTCTGGTATCTGCAGGCACTTTATGTCATGAACCCTAACAAATTCAGAGCCTGTGAATTTCTGATACGTTTCCATGAACAACAACGTGGGGATAAAATCATTGTCTTTGCAGACAATCTTTTTGCGCTTACAGAGTATGCAATGAAACTCCGGAAACCGATGATTTATGGTGCAACCAGGTTTGTTAAAGAAGTTCTATGAAAAAACAAAGTTTGAGTTTTCACTCCATTTCGAGTCTGATAATCCTCTCTGCGCTATGTAGCCATATCGAACGAACCAAAATTCTTGAGGCGTTTAAAATCAGTAAAAACGTGAACACTGTCTTCCTATCGAAGGTATGAACATTGTTTCCTTCCTTATAGAAAAATTTCCATTCCATGTTCCTTAGGGAACTTAATTTCGGTTTTGTTTCTTTGACTACAGGTTGGTGATAACTCTATAGATATCCCTGAAGCGAATGTGATTATCCAGATTTCGTCACATGCTGGATCTAGACGTCAAGAGGCTCAACGTTTGGGTCGTATCCTTAGGGCTAAGGTGTGATTATCAGTATTATAACTCATCACATTAGGTCTCTCCTATTTCCTATCTTGCTGATTGGATCGAAGAATTTTTATTTCTCCATGATTAAAAACAGGGTAAACTTGAAGATAGAATGGCCGGTGGGAAAGAAGAGTACAATGCGTTCTTCTACTCACTTGTTTCTACAGATACACAGGTAAATCATAAATTGTCTAACCAAACCTGAATCAGAACCAAAATCCATTTCAGTTTTTAGTCCGGACTCCTTTCCAAAACACACAAAAAAAAATCTGCTTTCCAAAACCTGAAACCTGAAATCTTGAATCGATAAATTGAACGCTGATGCTCGTATTTCTAGTGAATGGCTGATTGAGGTTTTGATTGTTGAAATGGCAGGAAATGTATTATTCAACAAAAAGACAGCAGTTCTTGATCGACCAAGGTTATAGCTTCAAAGTAATAACAGGCCTCCCGCCTCCTGACGCGGGTTCAAGCTTGAGCTACCACAGCCAAGAAGAACAGTTGTCCCTTCTGGGAAAGGTTTTGAATGCTGGAGA